GCCACAAGCGCTCGTGCCAAGCAAGGAGTACCCGCTCGATGGGGGTGCTTCATATTGATAGGTGCACGAAAAGGCTGCGTGGCCTCTGATACGCTCAGAATCAGGCGTGCATTATTCGAAACAACTCCTATCAGAGTACATTTGGCAGCGGAACCTATAGTCTAGCACTCGGTACAGCAGCATTGCTCTATTGAAGCAAAGTCAGCATTGGGGGCAGCCTTGGAATACCAATCGGAGCTTCTGGGCGTCGACAGGGGTACGCTGGGAGCGTAATGCGACAATATGTCGAAGTTTGTGATGGCGGATTTCTCAAAACGGCTAAACTACATCCCGGGTTTCAACAGGGTGTGACAAAAAAACAAGCTCGATCGGGCATGCCTCGGTTGGGTGGCAGTCGCTTCGACTGTCATCTAACCGTCTTTGTGATTCCTGCAATGGCTGTGCGTCGTTTTCGAATCCAGGCGGCGTGGATGCCCTGCGTGCAGTGCCCACGCGGGGTCGCTCGCGCCTCCCACTGATGCTCCCACCTGTATCCGATGAGTTGAGATCGTTAATAGAGTCTTGCCGTACGTTTTCTCCACGAGCGCAGTCATGCCGCCCACCCAGCACTGCCGGGAGACAGCGCCTTCGGACTCCTGTTGCCGGAACGGTCAGAACAGAGCTGTTCCCTGCTTCACTACTAATGCTGCAGCGACCGTATGGCGCAAAAGGACGTGTATCCTTCATGCTCCGATAAGTGTTTGCACAAGACAGGAATACAGGTGGTGTCGAAAAACTGAAAGGTTTGAAATCTTCAATCCGATCTTGTGGCAGGAGGGGAGCAACCGATGCCACTCCGGCTGTGTCTCAGGCTGTCCCGGATCGCATCGCGCCAAGGGCGGTCGTCGGCGGTGGTGATGGCCGTGGCATTCCAAACAGCGGTAGCAGTGATGGTGCCGGTGCCAACCAGGCTAACGCAGCCAGCGAGGTAAAATGCGCTACTATGTAACTAACACATGTACAACGGCCGAGTTGCTCGGATGCATGCTGATCAGAACGATCCTTCCCTCGAAGAGTGATTTCCCAGTAAAAGCCTCACATTCAATCGTAGTCTGTTTCTGTGTTGTGCACCCACCGGCGTTTCTCGCTTGTATTCCTTCACCTACCTATGCATACGCCGAAGCCAGCGCAACCATCCAGGTCAAGCATCAAGATATGCGAAGACGGTTGTGCGTCCGGGGCATGCTTTATCCTCCACATGGGGTTCCCCGAAAGTGTTCGCATCCATAGTCCATGGTTTCTGTCGTGCGCTCACTGACTGTCATGCCTCGCTTGCATGTCCTCTCCCCACGATTGCCTTTATGGACAACGCACGAATGACACGCTTTCAGGACGTCATGCCACCACGACCTCGCATTGGGAAGGCGAAACCCGGGAAGATCCTGAGGATGACGCCAGGTAGTACCCAAGACACGACAAACTTGAACGTTTGGGATACCTTTAAACAGATGCATGCACCTTTAGCACTGGGCGCGTGGTGTATTCGGAGTTCGAGTTGAACGACCGACTGCTCTGAACGGTTTCTCCACAAGCCGCTTCACGGAAATGACAACAGTTCGCAGTCGAAAATTGATTGGTGTATGCTACATTGCCACAAACTCACCGCAAACACCCTGAAGCTATTGTGTACGTCGAGGCACCACCCCCGCCACACGGAAGTCACGAAAGCTCGTTAAAGCGCGGGGTACTCGCTCGCGCCATCGCTTACTGTGATTGTCTTCCGTGTTTTGTCGTTCTCTGTGATCAAGCGAAAAAGCCAAAAAGGAGGCCATGCCGCGCAAAATGAAGCCAGGACTACGGAGGTCCTACTTCACGGCGTATCACGCTTTCTTAGTGACGGCGAGACGCGCTCTCGGCCGGTGCGACCGCCAGGAAACGTAAGGAAGCCATTAAAAAGCAGTGAAACATTTACGGTATTTTGCTGAAGTGTGTCTTTCCTTAACAACGGCAGTATTGACCAGGCTAACCTGCTGTGGTCACGATTGTAGAATATTCGTTTGGATCCCTCGAAAGGCACTGAACTCTCTGGCGGGACCTGTAAACAAGCGTTGATGTACCGAGTGTGATAACCCTAATCGCAGGCTCAGACAGGCTGTGGAAGCATCTCTCAAGGATTGCGAGGCCAGGGAACGGGAGGGGAGCCCATGCGAGCAGCCATATCGGCCTCAGATGAATCTAAGGGTGGAGGAGACGAAACGAGACACACCACGTGCTTCCAACAAGCAATAATCACTTTGAGGACGTACGAAGTCCTTCCATGAAAGGTTGTTGAGTCATGCCGTCACCCATGTAGAAGGTCTGAATGTTTCCAAGGGCGATGACGCTACCCTACGACAACGAGGAGGTCAGAATTGTAGGCCTGCACATAATTTCGGGTGCCTTTGCATTATGACTGGCGCTCGTGTGTTTCCTCGAAACCCACAAAAACTCATTGAAGCAGGCCATGCCACCACGATGTCGTCTTCCCAACTGTTGGAGGGAATTGCGTCGGGTCTGACGGTCTTGGTGTTGTGTCGATGTCGATCCTATTTGAAGTCGTCCTTTGTTTTGTCTTGTTGTTCGATCGTTCGTAGGAGTTCGCTGATCCTCAGGCTTTGAATGCACGGGGGGCCGCGGCAAGGGGCGACGCTGTGGAGGCTACCAGCCCCCCCACCGATCGCCTGGCAGCAAGACCTCACCGCGAGGCGGCTAAGCCTATCACGTTTACGGTATCCTCCGAGCCCCCTCGGTGCAGCAGCGAAGCCCTGCGGAGTACGAGCGGCGTTGCCCTGCTTCTGTCGAGCTCGGTCGGACAGGCGGAAGGAGTATGCTACCCGACCTACCCTGTATGCGGGGAGCAAGCGGTGGAGATGGGAAGCCATCTCGCCATGTGAGTACGAACCATGCATACCTTCCCTGATAGGGCACGCCTTTGGTGAAATGTCAACAACTCTGCTCGCCGATGAGCTCGGTCCATATGCGCTTGACATCGCGTGGATTCAGCATATATGCCTGCCAGGCAGTTCACCCGAAGCCGACCTTCTACGTCTCACGGTCCAACCCCTCAGATCCTCCTGCGGGAAAGTCATCAAGTCGGCGTACAGGGGTTACTCCTTGCAGTGCGCCGTATGCACCACGGAGTACCCCGCCCAAAAGGTGATCTACCACTCGAAAGAGTGCCAAGGCGCCCCACCCCAAGCATCAATGTCGGTGTCCAGCTCATGCTGCCACCTCCGGACGGGGCCGGAGGCGAGCAGCTTCGGTGGCTTCGAAAAAGATCACCGACGCCACGGCAATCCTGAACGAGGAGACAGACACGGCGCCCAAGCAAAGTCAGAGGAACAAGTAGTTCAAGGGTCTAGCTGCTTGTGATATTGCTGCCGGTGGCAGTGTGAAGAAAACCGGCTGCATTCGGGCTTAGTTTACGATATGACACCGAAGCGCCTACCGCTGAACTAGCGACGGTAACATAAATTCTGGAAACGTCACCGAGCATCAAGGCCAAAGGTCGGAGATGCGACTGGTCGAAAGTCGAAAGTCCACAGCGAACGGTCAAACATGTTCGTGCGATCGACGACATACGTGTGAGGAGTCCTATGGAGCGGCCGGGGAGCTATGTGTAAAAGCCCCAGGTAAGGAGAGCCGGAGAAGATTTGTTGCCGCGGAAAACGCTTGTCAGAGGGGAGGTTGTTGATGTCATGAACCATTGGTGGTAGATAAATGTAGCAAGAAGCACACGTCCAAGTGATGCCAGGTTGCAAGAATATTCAGAAAATTTCAGGAAAACGAACAAGAATCACCACCAGCATTTCGCTCGACGACCGACGTAGTGTCAACCACGGCGCCACGGCGTCTCATGCCTCCTCCAAAGTGCTTCCCCTAACCGCGGCATCGCTCCGCATCCCTCAGTGCACGCACCCCCNCTCACACTGTACTCTATCTACGCGCCAGGACAAGGGTGGTGGAATATATTCACCACAGAGAGAGAGAGAGAGAGAGAGAGAGAGAGAGAGAGAGAGAGAGAGAGAGACGCGCATAGTTCGTGGCATATTTGGTGGGACAGTTGGCTTGTGACCACGGAAGGCGTCAGCGTCTGTTAGACCAGTACGGACATTTGACGGTAATGATCGGAGACCGGAACGTTTTTTTATCTGAGGACAACAACAACAACAACAACAACAACAACAACAACAATAAGTAATCCTCGCGAGTCCTATTATGAGGTGGATTTCGTCCCTCGCCAGAGCACGGTGTTCGGCAAGTTGGGTGTACGGGGTATAGACGAGCTGAGTTATTTGGACGGGATGCTGCATTTTACTTTTGATATACTCGCCACGTCCTTGGGATTTCAATATTTTGTGTTTACCTGATCGTGCCCCGATCATGACAACGGTGTGCTGACCCAGCTCTCGCACCAAACCGGGGTTCCCCTTGACAGCCACAAGGGTTCCACGAAGATGCCTGCAGCACATTGCAGCTGATGACTCCTCTTCGGGTTGATGAACTTCTCACACGGGGGGCACCAAAGATTTTCGGTTTTTTAGACTACTGCATGGTGGTGATCGTGCTACTCTTTGTGCGGGCTTTTGACGATGATGTGGTAAGTGCCAAACAGTTCAGCAAGGCATTCAGCTGGGTGAAGATTGATTCTCCGGCAGGAAGACATCGCCTGAAGGATACTTCCCCGCCTACCTATGCTGAGAGCGCTCACAGAGCGGTCGGAGCAGATATCCTTTAAAATCGCTCAGCCTAGAATAGTAGCATCGTTTGCTCTTACTCGCGCGGTGCGGAACATATTGTGGAAAGTACTGCATGCAGCGTAAGATGCATTTGGCGAGGCCGCTTTCGCTTCATGTGTTCAAGCCCATATTTTTCTTGCCGCCATAAATCGGCCTGTAAGCATACACACACGTTTATGCCGACTTATACTCCAACTTCTGTTGGTACGAGGGGAAACTGCAAAGAAGGGATGGTCAAGTCGTATGCCGGAGGCCTTGGATTTATGTGTGGCTTGCCGACAAGTACCCTCGTTGGTTATAAGGATGAACAGGAAGGAGTCGCTGTATCAGCATGCTGGTCGGAACGATTCTCCACGCGTACCTATGCTTTGGCCGTCAGCAATGAGGGGGAAGTACGTCAAGGAAGCGTTGTTGTCGGAGCACCACAAACCCATTAACTGCAGCAGCGCTTCGAGAGTATGATTTGGGGAAACGTCCAATAAGCCAATAGCTGAAAACACGTGGCCTAGCTCGCTGTGACAGCTCGAGCTTGGCGCATTCTTCGACAAGTCGATCATATCGGTCAAATGGTCACGGTCTCTTCAGAAAATCATATTCAACGGCCTGTTCAACCAGCCGGCGGTGTGGTCACACGATCTGCGCGAGCTGGACTTGGGGTTCGCGTTCAACCAGCCAATTGAGGATGTCGCGCGGCCGAAATCATTGCGGATTCTTTCGTGGACCCTGTTTCAACCAAGCGATTAAACGGGTCAAGTGGTCGCCACGCATGAACCTAGACTTCGACCAGCCGATCTCGAAAGCCGCATGGCCGAAGGCGCTACATCGGCTGACCTTTGGCGGCTCGTTCGACCGAGAGATCGACCACGTCAAGTGGCCCAGCTTGCTTCAGGAGCTAGAATTTGGTGACAAGTTCAACGACGGGGTCGAAAACATGTCGTGGCCTGACCGGCTCAAGAAGCTGACCTTCGCGTGCATGTTCGACCAGCCGATCGAGCGTGTGACGTCGCCCGCTTGTCTCGAGGTGCTCGTCTTTCGAGATTCCTTCAATTAGCCGATTGAAGGTGCCGGGTTTCCGATTCGCTCAACAAGCTCACATTGGGGCCCAATTTCGAGCAGCCTTCGGACAACGTCTCATGGCCGCAGGCGCTGCAACATTTACAACTCGAAAACATCTCCGATGCGATTCGTCCTGGAACCAACCATGGTTTGGCCACCGTCGGTATGAGTGACGATAGGCGACGCATCGGTTGCTGATATTTGTGAGAAGAGTGAAAGTAGTTCCGAGTCACCAGATTAGACGATGGATGCCGCGGCCGAAGTGTTTTGAGGCAGCTAATCTTCACAACTATGTCCATAAGGCAGAGGGAACTTGGTCGGAGCATGGGGTCGACAGTGAAGGAAGGCGGGGAAGGGGTTCGACCAAAATGTACCAGGGAGAATGATTGAATGGAAGCAAATTCCTTCCGCACAAACCCGTACAGTCTTTTATTCATCGAGGTGTCACATTCTCAATGAATGACATTGCGTCGATTACCCTTGTAATCCGTGACGCCTCTCTGTTGCTTGCAGTTTGTGGCTCGACTCTTTAAGACAACTTGTGCCTCGTCTGAATACTCCAACAATAGCAACAACAGGAGACACGACTTGCCATCTTCCACTCATTCCCAACACACACATACCAGTTCACCGCTCTACATGTATCACTCTCATTACCTTTCTCTCGCCGTCCCTCTCGCAGCCGAATACAGACGCCATCATTAAAACTGCAATATCTTATCGTTACCTACACAACGTGACTCAGTGCCGCCACCACCGCCATCCAACGTCGTTTTTTCAGACAACGTAGCACGGCAGGAACTCCAACAACGCCAGTCACCATCAGTTTCATGTCAAAATACGTCTCCCTCCAAGTGCTCAAGACCACTTGATACGGAAGCAGTAAACGGTAGGTCAACCTGCACCGCACTCAAAGTACAGGAAACCCCGATCAAGGACAAAGTAGTCACAGCCGCGTGTCAAGAGAAAAGCATCCTCACCAAGAATGGCGGCTGGGGTGTGGCACCCTACCCACCGTACCCAGGGCCGTAGGAATACCCCGCCCAGCCTCCGGCATGCCCCGCCGGTACCCTAGCGTTGGGCACCTAAGCACTCGCCGGATAATGGCCCCATACTCCACCCATCCCTTGCCCCGCTCCTATTCTCGCGTACGCTGCGTGGCCGTAGTAAGTCGGACCACCACAAATACCAGCACCAACACCAACACCAACATGTCCAATGCCAACACTTACAGGCGCACTAACAGATGCATGCACCTTTAGCACTGGGCGCGTGGTGTATTCGGAGTTCGAGTTGAACGACCGACTGCTCTGAACGGTTTCTCCACAAGCCGCTTCACGGAAATGACAACAGTTCGCAGTCGAAAATTGATTGGTGTATGCTACATTGCCACAAACTCACCGCAAACACCCTGAAGCTATTGTGTACGTCGAGGCACCACCCCCGCCACACGGAAGTCACGAAAGCTCGTTAAAGCGCGGGGTACTCGCTCGCGCCATCGCTTACTGTGATTGTCTTCCGTGTTTTGTCGTTCTCTGTGATCAAGCGAAAAAGCCAAAAAGGAGGCCATGCCGCGCAAAATGAAGCCAGGACTACGGAGGTCCTACTTCACGGCGTATCACGCTTTCTTAGTGACGGCGAGACGCGCTCTCGGCCGGTGCGACCGCCAGGAAACGTAAGGAAGCCATTAAAAAGCAGTGAAACATTTACGGTATTTTGCTGAAGTGTGTCTTTCCTTAACAACGGCAGTATTGACCAGGCTAACCTGCTGTGGTCACGATTGTAGAATATTCGTTTGGATCCCTCGAAAGGCACTGAACTCTCTGGCGGGACCTGTAAACAAGCGTTGATGTACCGAGTGTGATAACCCTAATCGCAGGCTCAGACAGGCTGTGGAAGCATCTCTCAAGGATTGCGAGGCCAGGGAACGGGAGGGGAGCCCATGCGAGCAGCCATATCGGCCTCAGATGAATCTAAGGGTGGAGGAGACGAAACGAGACACACCACGTGCTTCCAACAAGCAATAATCACTTTGAGGACGTACGAAGTCCTTCCATGAAAGGTTGTTGAGTCATGCCGTCACCCATGTAGAAGGTCTGAATGTTTCCAAGGGCGATGACGCTACCCTACGACAACGAGGAGGTCAGAATTGTAGGCCTGCACATAATTTCGGGTGCCTTTGCATTATGACTGGCGCTCGTGTGTTTCCTCGAAACCCACAAAAACTCATTGAAGCAGGCCATGCCACCACGATGTCGTCTTCCCAACTGTTGGAGGGAATTGCGTCGGGTCTGTTCGTCCTTTGTTTTGTCTTGTTGTTCGATCGTTCGTAGGAGTTCGCTGATCCTCAGGCTTTGAATGCACGGGGGGCCGCGGCAAGGGGCGACGCTGTGGAGGCTACCAGCCCCCCCACCGATCACCTGGCAGCAAGACCTCACCGCGAGGCGGCGAAGCCTATCACGTTTACGGTATCCTCCGAGCCCCCTCGGTGCAGCAGCGAAGCCCTGCGGAGTACGAGCGGCGTTGCCCTGCTTCTGTCGAGCTCGGTCGGACAGGCGGAAGGAGTATGCTACCCGACCTACCCTGTATGCGGGGAGCAAGCGGTGGAGATGGGAAGCCATCTCGCCATGTGAGTACGAACCATGCATACCTTCCCTGATAGGGCACGCCTTTGGTGAAATGTCAACTACTCTGCTCGCCGATGAGCTCGGTCCATATGCGCTTGACATCGCGTGGATTCAGCATATATGCCTGCCAGGCAGTTCACCCGAAGCCGACCTTCTACGTCTCACGGTCCAACCCCTCAGATCCTCCTGCGGGAAAGTCATCAAGCCGGCGTACAGGGGTTACTCCTTGCAGTGCGCCGTATGCACCACGGAGTACCCCGCCCAAAAGGTGATC